CTGAGAGGAAAAGCTGCAGACTGAGAGGAAACAAGTAAAGACAAACATGTAAACAACAACAATAAACAAGCTGTAGTCTGAGAGGAAACAAGTAAAAACAACCATGTAAACAACAACAATAAACAAGCTGTAGTCTGAGAGGAAACAAGTAAAGATAAACATGTAAACAACAACAAACAAGTCAGACTGAGAGGAACAAGTAAAGACAAACATGTAAACAACAACAATAAACAAGCTGTAGTCTGAGAGGAAACAAGTAAAGACAAACATGTAAACAACAACAAACAAGTCAGACTGAGAGGAAACAAGTAAAAACAAACATGTAAACAACAACAATAAACAAGCTGTAGTCTGAGGGGAAACAAGTAAAGACAAACATGTAAACAACAACAATAAACAAGCTGTAGTCAGAGGAAACAAGTAAAAACAACCATGTAAACAACAACAATAAACAAGCTGTAGTCTGAGAGGAAACAAGTAAAAACAAACATGTAAACAACAACAATAATCAAGCTGCAGACTGAGAGGAAACAAGTAAAGACAAACATGTAAACAACAAACAAGTCAGACTGAGAGGAAACAAGTAAAAACAAACATGTAAACAACAACAATAATCAAGCTGCAGACTGAGAGGAAACAAGTAAAGACAAACATGTAAACAACAACAAACAAGTCAGACTGAGAGGAAACAAGTAAAAACAAACATGTAAACAACAACAATAATCAAGCTGCAGACTGAGAGGAAACAAGTAAAGACAAACATGTAAACAACAACAAACAAGTCAGACAAAGAGGAAACAAGTAAAGACAAACATGTAAACAACAACAAACCGTCTGTAAGAAACTTACCGTTGCTGCAGAAGAAGCAGATCTTGCTGTTGACCCTCTTCACTTCGTGGATCAGTTTTTGCTTCTTGCAGTGCTCACATGGACCTACAATGTTGTTGATGCTCTTAAAGTCCTGAGAGCAGGCGGAGCTGCAAACGTAAACCAGCTGGTTCTGTAAACAAAAACAAAAACAGGTAAACATAAAAACCTGGTTCTGTTTCCACTTTATGCTCCAGGACCACATGGAACCTGATTCTGGATGAGCTGAGGTGTTGTTTGAATCGTCTGCAGACACTGAGCACACAGGAGCTCCTCTGAGGGTCTGTCAGAACCGTTCCGGGTTTGGGTTTCACTGGAGGTCCGGTCCTTCTGGGTCTCCTGTGGCAGAAACAGAAGTTTAAAGTTTAACATGGGATGAAAACCTGTTGAAGCAGGCTCAGTGAGTGCTCGGAGCAGCTTCTGGCTGTTAGCTAGCTGCTGCTGTTAGCATCCAGCTACTGTTCGGCTCATTTAGCAGGACTTTAGCTCTTCTTTTAGCTACCTTAAACTGCATGGCACAGGTCAGAGAGCAGAAGTTTCTGACGGAGGCGTCAGACATGGCGAGGTGACAGACCGGAGCGGTCGTCTTCCTGCAGTTGTCGCAGTCCAACGACGCGCCTGAGGAAGAGGAGGAAGAGGAGGGAGAGGAGGGAGAGGAGGATGAAGAGGAGGGAGAGGAGGGAGAGGAGGAAGAGGAGGGAGAGGAGGGAGAGGAGGATGAAGAGGAGGGAGAGGAGGGAGAGGAGGAAGAGGAGGGAGAGGAGGGAGAGGAGGGATGAAGAGGAGGGAG